TGGTGGGCAGAGCACAGATAGCCCATCGTGTAGCTTTGTGCTTAATTACAAATAAACAATAAACAATTGATTGAAAGTTAGATAATTATAAACATCATAACTAAAAAGTAACTTAATGAAGGCAATTTTATAGAGAAAACCTGAGAAATATATTAGTTACAAGCAAAAGTACCCGTCCCCAGTGACGGGAAAGTTTAAGTTAATTTATCAATTTGAATTATTTCATGAACTTATAAAAGTTTAATTGTGTTGCACTCTCGGTTTCACTTAAAGAAAAAGCTACTTTTATGGCCCATCGCGAAAAGTAATTGTTGAGCATTTCTGTCTAATTAAGAGTCGCGCAACAATAACAAATAGTAAATTTACATTTTTATTCTTTAAGTTATGTCACATTTTGAAATGTGAATAATAGTGTGATTATGTCTTATCAAGTTACTGTAAAATATCCTGCTTACTAAATAAAATTTAGCCTTAACATTATTAATGCCTGTTCTCCCGTCATTTGAAAAGTGAATGTTGAGCTTTGCCGGCGTGCGCAGCTTTTCAAACTCAGCGCGGGAACCAGCCACCGTAAACAGGAGGCAAGACGAACGCTCGGACAGACACCACGCTTTATAATATATATAAATTATGATTGAAAGTAAGCCAATTATGTATATCAGAACTAAAGAGTAACTTAATAAAGGCAATTGTATAAAACAAACTGACTAGAGCTACATAACATCATTAATCAATACACCAGAAAAATAAGACCTTTTATTATTAGAAGGCATTGAATAAGGAGATGAGAACCCTTGCCGTCAACTATATTTGCCTCTAGATACCTATAATGTATAATTAAGATTGTATGTAAGGCAAACATAAAACTGATAAATAGGACAAGTACGAACCATTATAAAGTTTCAGACATTGAAGATATCTATAAAAAGCACTAACGCCTGTTATTCTAAGCTTCAGTGGTTTCTGTAATAATACTTTATTTCCAAACGATTCGAAAAACGATTCATATTACAACTTTGGTAACTGTTGTCCAACTAACGCTTTGACAGAGTGACCAAAATACTGTTAACACTGTACCTTTTACTCAAGCGAGCATAGTCACGTGTAAGGATTATAAAGATGAACCAAAAAGTATGATATGAGTGTTAGGTTAAAACCCGTTTAAGCTTTGCACATTGGTTACTAATTCGAAGCAAAAAGAACCATTAATGTCATCGTCACCACGAACTGACTTTTGTAGAACCACGTATACGTGTACGTCTAATTAACGTATTCACCTTTTTATTGTTTGATTTAACAAGAGGATCGTTTTTAAAGTGAGAGAAAACTAATATTTTATCTATAAAGTAGCTCATAAAAGCAGAATTCGCTAATACATAATATGACCAAGACATCTAACAATTTTTCCAAGTATGGAGTTTTACCATGTCTTTTACACTAAATGTATACGTTCTGTGATTATGTTCCATTCATTCATTCATTAGCCCACAGTTTCAAAATTATACAAATAAAGCACTATTTTTTAAAATTGAAACCAGTATTTTTTTTTCCGGTTACCAAGTTTGTTTTGAAATAATACCAACTCATCTGGATCTCTCGCTCTATTGAGACAGGGAGCTATAGAACATTTTTGTGTGTGATATACATATTTGCATGCCTTAAACGAGTTATCGTTTTCCTCAGTAGTTTATTAATTTTGGTTTCAACAAAGGACTAGGTGTTATGAGTTGCACACCTGTTTCTAGAAGGCGTGGCAGAGGTAAAATAGGTGTAACGGTCTTTCACCTGTTTGCGGAAAATCCGAAGAATTTCAGGGGCGTTTTCAGTTTACAAACTACACTATTAGTAATAACATATAAATATTTTAAAAACGAATAACTTTTTTATTATTATTCGCTGACGCTGAAAAGAAAGTAAAAGCATAAAATTTTACTTGTAGGGAATTTCTAAATGTTTATTTACACATATCTATGCAAATGTATAGTTCTACTGTAATACTTTCTTCTTTTGGTGCATGTTGGAAAGGATGGCCTGTTACTTATAGCAATACAATAATTATTATATTTTAGTTCCTGTAACTTATTTGATATATAGACAAGGTGGGGCACAATTTACTATATGGTTAATGCTAAAGAAAATATTACAAGGACAACTGAAATCAATTTAATAATTGTTTGTTTCACAGTAATAATTAGAATTAGACTATGTTCTAAAACAAACAACTGTATAGTCACTTTTGCCTCATTCAGTATATATAAAAATATGTATAAATATATTTGGGTGTATCTCTCTATCTATCTATATATATATAAGTATATACGATATTTATTTTTATTGTCAAGGCGTTAGAATTAGTATATTCTAATCCATTCAGCATTTTAAACATTCTTGATTTTATAGAATGTGTTTACTATTTCTTAAAGGAAATTGAATTTCATAACTTGCATTAACTTTAGATATTTGCCTTTTATTGTGATAAAAATATGTAATCTTAATTTCAAAAAATATTTTCTCTGAAGAAATGCGTAATAATCTTTAATTCTAGTAAAGGTAAGATTTACTAATATTAGTTAACAAAGAAAGAATTAAAACAAAAATGGGCACATTAACCTCACCGTGGGGTACCATTTATTCAGATACGTAATTTAACTAGCGATAATTTTATTTTTCCTTTTTTAGTTAAGTTACATCACGTATTCTCAACTCCAGTCATATTTCTAGTAATTTATTTATGTTTAGTATTTGTATAACATAACTCGATACTAATTATTTTGTTTAAAGGACCTATTATCACATATGTTTTGTATTTCTTTTTTATTATTCGCTTTTAAGTTGTTTATAAACATGAAAAATTCTATGCAGCCTTAACAGAACTCTCAAAAACACAAAATATTAGAAGTCCATCAATAAACTAGTAGTACCAATATTTGTTGACTTATTATGAATTTACGCATTTCACATCATCATAAACAATAATAGCATTTCTTTTTTGGAATGTTTTGACTTCTCCTTTCTAAAAAGTTCATGTAATGTGTCTAAGTTAAGTTACATGTTTCATATTTCGGGCAATTTAAAGTATTTTATAAAATACTTGATTTTCTATAAGAAGCACAAAAACAGCACTTTTTAAACCTTCTTATTCTTGTGTTATATAATTTATGGAATGTTTTGCCCCTCAGATTTTGAGAAGGTCCAATCAATCTTCTGACGCCCGAATTATTACTTGTTTACTGATATCGATAAATACAAATTAAAACAACGTATACGTGTAATTTTGTTGCATGAATGTAACCGCAATCAGTGGTTAGTTATACAGTAGTAAGAAAAAAAACGTTGTGAATTTTCTACTTGTAGTGCCCTCTGATGTGCAAAACTAGAACGTTCAAGACAACGTGCCGAGATGCGCAAATTTTGCGTTGATGCTTCGTGTTCGGTGTAAATACCAATTTGTTTATAACGAAGAAGCATCTACAGAGGGTTAATTTCTGTGCGCCAGTTTGAGCCTTCTTGTTTACACTGATGGTCATTTTCTAAAAATAAAGTTTACAATTGACACCAGCTGGGCCAGGTATTGTCTAGAGAAGCACAATAAGGTTGTCGGTCAAATCCCATTATTTGGTAAGATAAGAGTAAACCAAGATTTGGACGGTTATACCAAACAGCTCTTGTATAGCTTTGAACACAAGTATGTTTTAATATTTTAAAATATTATCCTTGTATTATACAGATTGCTTTGTTTTGCAACTTAGTATATGGATTTAAGACTAACCTAAATATTCTAAACTGTCGAACCTCGTGAGATATGATTGAAGTTACGGAGGAAAATATCGTTAACAGCGAGGTACCCAACTGATGAAACAATCCAGTCTAATATTCATAAGTAAGAACGCAAGAAAAGTTGACATATTTAATTATTCTCGTTATCCAGGACGAATTTTAGTTTTGATCTATGTAGTAAGAAGGTAGTTTGCTCTGATCGAAAGTTATATGAAACAAACAAACTGACGCCACCTATCTTTCGAGCTGAAACCCAAACCAATGTATTAGTGTAGTAAGAAGGTAGTTTGCTCTGATCGAAAGTTATATGAAACAAACAAACTGACGCCACCTATCTTTCGAGCTGAAACCCAAACTGATGTGCATACAGTGGAAAGTGTGCTCATCATTTTGTTTTACTGCATAAATCTATTTTGTTTAAGTTATGAATGTTTTTAGTGTGTCAGAGCTATTGTAAATCGAAATGATGAAAACAAGAAATTAAACGTGGACTTTAGCTAGGGAATATTTTGAAACTTAGTTTGAGTCTGGAAAGTTAGCGATAATACACGTACATTTTTATGTTTGCATTATATATACACTCATAAATACATATTTCATACAGTTCCCCCACAATAGCATATCAAAAGGTGAAAACCTATTGTCTGTTATAATATGTCATTCACAAATGTTGAACTGAGAATGTAAATGAATGAATCACGCACGATAACAGCAAAAAACAAACAAACTTGTAGCACTGAACGGTATAAGGTTGCATCTCCTTATACATTCAGAAACAGACACATCGAGGAAATGTGGGCGTTGGTCAGGACGGTCAGGATACTAAATTATGTCAAAGTCATTTGCCTTTCCTGTAAATGCCTTCGGGAACGTTAACTAATTGCTAATTAGAAAAAGTATAATAATTTCTTGCCTGGAGAACCATCAAAAACAACACGATGCCTTTTAGCATGTCTCTAGTCCCATATTTCGGGAGTGTCCCAGATTTCGCCCGATGATTGCTAGAGGGACGGGAGGTTACCGATGTACTGTCGGGGAAGCTACAGTGAAAGTAGATCGACCACACCACATGGATAGGTCAGCTACTTCCATTTTCTTCTAATTCTTCTGTAATATTTCTTTGACTCAAGCATATAAAAGCTGTTGCCATCCAATCCAAGGCAGAGTCTTCTTTCTACCTTGATCAAGAGAAAGCAACAATGAAATTTCAGGTAGGTTTCGAAGTGCATAACTGAACGACCTCTAAAGTTCTCTTAATAATGTATTAAATATTTCCGAATTCCCTTGAGATAAATGTGCAGTTTACTTATCACATAACTCAGGACGACCGACAATAAACCCAAATAGTTTAACTAGTCCCTGAGAAAGAAGTTGGAAGAAACTGTATTTGAAATACCATTATCTGTACGATCACATAAAAGTTAACTCAACTCAAATGCACGCTTTGCAGGAAGTTTCCTTCGGGACCACAACATTATAGTGTTCTGTGGGGGAATAGTTATGCGAACAATTATTCATTGCATAAATAACTCATACTAAGGAGAAGTTCATTTCTATGTTAATTTATCTGAAAGTTCATGTTGTTCGATTTAGGGAACTATTTCACAACTTATTATTTACAAATAACCTCAGTTATCTGTAAATATATAGTAAAACTGACACTTCATTTATTTATTTTTCAGATAACAATCATTCTGTTTACCGCCGCTCTGGCCTACGCCTCGAACTACAAACAAACTCCCCTAACCATCGTGCATCATGCTCCTGCTGTCCAAAGTGCTAATGCTTATGGTGCCGGCCACTCTGCCTACGGCCACTTGAATAAAGCTTCCGGCGCTCACGGATATGGAGCATATGGAGACAGGGCTGCCTACGGAGCCTATGCTCACGGTGACGCTGGAGTGAAGGCCAATGCTGCCTCGAGAGATCTACGGGCTAACAGTGCCGTTGGTGCTGCGCACAGCAACTACAAGGATAAGGGATTGTACTCCCGTAATCGTGGGTATGGATACCAGAAGGCTTACGGGTACGATAAAGAGATTTCGGCCCACGATATCGGTGCAAACTCTGGAGCTTATGGAAGCAAATTTGGTCTTAGTGACAAATACGGACACAGCAACTTGGACGCTCACAACCGCTACGCTCATGGTGCTCATGCCGGACACGACCGCTATGGCGCCCATGGCTACGGTCGCTACGGACATTTGAACAGTGGTTACGGTCAGGCAGGATACGCCCACGGAGCCAACGCCTACGCTAAACAGCCTGCTCCCACTTACGTTGTTGCCCATCCTGCTCCTGCAGTTACCTACAGCCACGGTGGCCCATACTCCAAGATAACCTATCACTAAATGTCTTAGGTAAAATAGAGGCACTACATATAATATTTATTTGTATAGAAAATAAATTGAAATACCTAGAAATAATAACATAATTAGCTGTAATTAGTAATAAAAACCTACATTTTTGTTTTATTTTTTCAAAATAATGTAGAAAAAGTGCATATGCTTACACATAGTTTAATTCAGCTTTTGTGTTGTTTCAGCCAGAGAAGCCAGCTGCTGTTGACCTGTCATCCTGTTTCAGCCTGAGAAGCCAGCCGCTGTTGACCTGTCATCCTGGAATGGTTTGAAAACGAGCTTTCAAAGCAGAAATTTTCCTGTTTTTCTTCTCCTTCCACATTTCACAACTTCATTGTGTGCTATTATTTATTTATATAAAGATGTTAAAATATTGATATCTTTTATATAAAATCTCAACCTGTTTTTATTTGTTCTGTTCTTTATTTAAATCTAGTTTATTCATGTTTATATTTTCTTGTTTTGTTGCCTTTCACGTTTGTAAATTAAAAAAAAAGTCAAAGTTTTGCTTGTGTTTCCTCTATACCAACAATAGAAGCTCAAGATATTTTACTGTTCAAAATCAGTTACAAGTAATTCACTTTATCCATTCTGATAACAAAAGTTGATAAATATATGTAAATATCTCATGCGGTTTAATAACTGCACCTGTCTTTATATGGTGCGCTAAACTATCGTATCAGACAATTATATTAACAGTTTATTTTTTATAATTATTGTAGTTATAAAACCGAGGTTTAACAAATTTTTGGTAAAGTCACTTTAACAGAACATACAAGTGTCTTTGAGAGCCAAAGGACGAAATACACTATTATTTTGATAAACACATAACACAAATAGATATTCTTAGTATCCTAGCAACATGTAATTTGTTTGAGAGTATATTGATAATTCAAATAGATTTTCATCCACTGTTTTCAAACAGCTAGTGTTTTACCGCATCAGCTAAAATAAGCTTAACTTTATCCGTATGTGAACTGAGTAATGCACTATCGGATTTTCGTAGCTGACTTATTCTAACAACAGACAATCTCACCAACGAAACAATTCAAACTAAACAAGCTCAACCTACTTCAAACACGTACCTCTGGTTTTAGTCCCAAACCCTCAACCTCTAAATAGAAAAGTGAAATTCATGTTAATAATAATAATAACACCGACAATGATCAAAGTTACGAATGCAACCAATAGGAATATATGAAAGTACAAACACTTACCAATTTTTACTGCTATTAAAAACACACTTTCTGACGTTATAGCCACCTTAGCTCAGGATGGATGTAAAGAAAATATCCTAACAATTCTAAAAAAATCCTAACTCTTAGTTTTACATAATATTTACAACACCAATGAATATCCTCACGGTCTTCTATGTCAATATTCAAAAATAGTTTACTTTCAAAAGATATGAAATAGAAAATATAGCGGAAGACATAAAACCTGACATAATATACATTCCCGAAACACTACTATGTAATCCCCACAGACCAAAAATAAATTTATATAATAACATAAAAGTCGACTGCTTGCACAAAATTCTGCTAAACAGGGGTCTAGATCCACTGTCCAAATCAAGTTTATCAGTACGGATTGTCTTCATAAACTTACTACTTATATATTTTTGGTTCTGATCCATGTAGGTATCTTACTGTTATCAGAAGTTACTATTAATCCCTGAGCGGAAATATGATCACTGATATTCTTTTTAACAATTCTGCTGTCTTACAAAGATCCGCATTCACTTATGTGATCTAAGTATAGGTTATCTGAATATTAAGAACACCGTCTTTAGATAGTCTATAATTATTACAAATCACAGACGTCTAATAGACTTTCTCTAAAACCATATCGTCTTTCTACTCAGTGATAATGCTCAAACACAAGTTTGTTACGCAAACGATTCCAGAGATACTCTGGATTATTCGTATGTTTACCCACTTTCAGTGTTGAATATCTCGTCGGTAGTTGTAAGCCTTCTGTTCCAATTTCAATTTAAGCCTACATACTTCTCAATCTAAATTTAGTTACAGTTACAACAAGACTAATTGACTTGAAATATTTTAACTTTTGATCCTAACTTAATTACTACTGAACGTATCCGTGCACTGGAACAATGGTTGAACGTAACCATACAAATGGAGCAGTGGTTGAACGTATCCATGCAAGTAACTCTTTATCCATTTGAATAGACATATATTTTCCACTCAAGTCTACACTTTGCTTTTTGCCCATGTCACTGAAAATTTTAAGTTCTGCTTTGGCAAAGTTTTGTTGAAGTCTTCCTCACTACTAAGGAAAGAATAATCACCCTTTCTGAAAGCTGTCAATAGGTCAGAATGCATTTCTGGTGTAGCAACCAAGCCTGAGGAGCGGTGGACAAGGTTATAAGCATCTTTGACACGCTCATCTTCGAAAGGGTTGATCATACTTGATATTGTGCTCATTATTACTTGCACAGCTTGCTTATCATGGTCATTCTTGAACTGGTGAGGTTCTTACGACTACTCCCTCTATCTCTTTTACCTGACAACTCCTCACACCCTTGGAGTACATCAGCTCTCCCGTGAAATCACTATATTCACATACTAGTGGCTTCCATATTAGTTGAAACCTTTTCACGCCACCTCTGGATTTCGAGTCTTTATTGGCAATCTGCTCAGTGGCAAGTCTGGATATCAGCTGAGTGTACTGCTGGCAGGTTTCTTCTCATACTGTTTTCAAAAAGCTTTCCCATTGTAATCCACGAAGAGCTTCAGCCATGAGTTTGTGGGCGTGCGTACTTCTGTTGCATGGTGGACTTGCATTACCCTCTTACAACATCTAATTCAATCAGAGTATCCTGCAACTAAGCAACTTGAAACATTCGTCCAACGCATGGCAGGGCTGTCATAGTGGGGTGAAAGGCTCCAAGATTGACAACAGCTCACTCCATAAGTATTGGAATCTCCACCTTATGGTCTGAGCCTTTGAATAAATTGCTTGGTTCACCACAAATACAACATATTTTATGCTTAGTTGGTCAGAAATTTTAAAATCATGGTGAATGATGGTATTCACTAGGTTTAAATCTGTTGGACTAGATTCGATAACTGGAAGGTAAACAATAGTGGTTTTCTGCTGAATTTCTGAGGCAAGCAGTTGGTTGAATCCTGTCCATCCAGGGAGGATTCAATTAGTGTAATACTTTGAAATTACATATGCAAAATTCTTCTCTGTATTTGGTTGAAGCACACTGTTGTGCTGAGAAAGGCTCAAGGGAACATCTTAAGCAAAAGTCTCTGGAGAGAACTTCTTGGAACAAGTAAATGACATGAAATCTTTCTCTGATGGTGCTAAAGCGCACTATCATGTTTTTTTCCCAACCTCATTGCCAAAAGAGTCATCTGGTATAGATCTTATGCTTACATTTCTCTCATGTTGGAGTGCAATTCCATTGGTACAGTGAGTTATGTCCTGACAAGAAGAAGCTTCTCTCCAAAATCACGATTATCTTACACAAGCATAGTGAGAAGATCTCTCGCTAAGCAGGATTGTAGCAAGGTACTCCCATGCCTTACACCTTTTAATGCTAGTGCAGTGTCATGCTTTAGAACATACATGTGAGAAGTGCAATAGCCAAAGCCATTAAGAAGACCAGAGTTGGGCTGAACCACTCAAATGTTTGACTGTCACAGCTAGTGATGCATGCTTGAGCATTACTTTCTTGCCCTTGCTTGTGAGATAGATAATGTCTTGTGCAATAGTTAACACATTCTGATTAAGCTGGTCTGAAATGGAGACATGCTCATGATCTCGTGCATCTTCAGATACCCCAAACAGCCATAAAATAAAATCATATACGTTTATTGGCACTAGCCCTTTGGCAACATCAAGTGTTATGTTGGGGGATGTGGGAGGCCAAGGCAACTTTCCTTCAAGTAACTGGCTGTGGTGAAGTGGTCCCATAAAGTACTCCCGTTGCTTGATATTCATGTACAGATTCTGTCTCTTCTCTTTTGTAGTAATTGTCTTGAGGTGGGACTATGTTTTCACTCTTCATTGTATCAATGTCATCAGATGCAGATGCTAATATTGAATCCTTAAAACTGTAGAGTCCTGGACAATAATCTTTTCTGTAGATAAATTGTTAACAAGCACAAATTCGCTTTCATTCATCCTGTTAGGTCTCAGAAACTTTAGCTGTGGGTACTTGACCTGCAGACTTTTCTTCAGGTTCCAGGTCTTATATGTGGAAGAGTCTTTGCTTTCGTTTTGATACACATATTTATCAAAGAGTTTATTTAGCCTATTGAGATTGAGGATTTCTTGTCTTTCAAAATTCTTGCTTCAACGACATTCTTACAGAATTTAGAAAAAAGTTGTTCATATCCTTGATTTAGCTTTTCTTGTATAGGTCGATGCTTAGAGGAAGTGAATGTAACCTTTGTGGCATGTACAGGGATAGCTCATCTCCTTGGCGACACAGTTTTGATTCTTGTTTGAGTCTTGCAGCCTCAAGTAACAGTCCGTCGTCAACAAATTCACACAACGCCAAAGGCTCTCTGTGTGTCTTTTTCGGCTGAAACTGTCAATTGTTTATTTGTCACACCGACAAATTACACACATCTGAAGCAGAACATGATTATTCTTTGATGGTATCTTTGGTCAACCCTGTACTTGAACGAAGCAGCATGGTCTTCTTAGCAAACAGGCTCAGAGTCAAGGGTTCTTGGAAACTTGGCATCTGAAGCAAAATGAAATAATTTATCTTTGAAAACGTTTTATGAAATCCAACCCTGAAAAAGCATTTCAACTGCAATACATTATAATTTCTACCTATACACTTGAATACTGCAGTGATTTGAATAAAATTGCAATTAATTTCCAGAAAAGAGTTAAGATAAGAAGGGCTAAATGAGCTAATGTACCAAGAGACTGAAATGCTTTTGAAAGAAATCTGACAGATTACTGACAAAGCAAGCCAAAATCCAGATGTTGTTTCCAGTGTCACT